ACCCGCGCATGGAGGGGACCGCGTGGAGCATCTCCGGCTTGGAAGAAAGGAACAAATCGATCCACCGCTCCCCGATCTTCTCCTTGTCGAGCTTCAAGGCGTGCTGGGCCTCGGGCACGGTCTCAAACACCACGTAGGCCTGCCCCGAGGCCCGGCCCATATGGTCGTAGTGCATGTGGACCCCGCCCTCCGCCACGCCAAAGCCGGAAAAAAAGGCGAGGATGTCCTTCTCCGTGGCGCTGTACGGCAAGCCCCGCATCCGAACTACACCCTGGGGCGTGCTCGATTCCGGGACCGTCAAGGAGGAGGCTTCGCCGGCGGTCCCGTCCCCCGCCTCGCCCGTGGCTGTCGCCGCGTCAGGCACCACGGTTGCGGGTGCGTTCATGGCTTCTTCCGAGGTGGCGGGCGTGGCCTCGAATGCCTCCTCGGTGGTGCTGCCAATGTCCACGAAACGTTTCCCCAGACGACCCACCTTCAGCTTCAACGCCGTCTCTTCCTCCTCGGCACTTCCCACTCGGACCAAGGCTTCTCCGCTCGAATCGTCCAAGATTTTGATGTCCGCCGCGGGGTCGGGTCTTGTGCTCACACCGATGTGCTTTAAGAAATTTTGCACGTCCGCCACCGAGCACTTCCACGGCAGCCCCGACAGTCGTAATATCAAGGTACCGGGGGCCACAAACACCTCGGGTGTCTCTCCCTCAGTCGCGTCTTCTACACCAGTATCAACCTTTGCCTTCTTGCTGCCCGTTTCTTCTGTCCCGGCGTCTGTGCCCTGAGGTTCGGCAGCAGGGATAGTATCGTTGGCAGTCTCGGTGCTGTCACCGTTCTCGCGCTGAGGTTGCTGCTCTTCCTGTTCCTCCTCCTCACGCGTGCGTTTCTTTGTCGTCTCGATCTATCAGGGGATAACAAAGAAGGAATCGGAAATGTGCATCGCAACAAGAGACCAGGGCGTGGGATATCTGACTAGGATGATGGGAAGGCTTTTCTCACAAACTGCTTACCTGCACGTCCTCGGACGCCGAATTTGTCGCCATTCGCTTCACCTAGATGCGTGCGTGTAAACTCACACGTATAAACACAGAGCACAGTGGCAGTTTCCGTTGACGTGCAAGCCCTGTGTCTGGACGAGTGAGGGTAGTGCAGGATGATATCAAGAAAACATAGAACAAAAGTGCTGGTCCTCCGAACTCCTGACTTGCGTAAAGCCCGGCCAACCGGCCAACAATCATTCCCACCGGCACCACACCGATACCAATGCAGCGAGCGATGTTTGCGGGTGCTTTGACCTTTCTGTCTGTTTACAAGGAACGGAAAAAGGCTTCCAGGCACCCCTCTCGGAGCCTTGCTGCCCTCTTTCGCTCCCTCCCGGCTCGTGGCTGTCGAGGAGAAAGACGCCATCCAGACGCTTCTACGCGTATGGACACTCCACAAACCCAAAGACTAGTCGCACTAGCCCAAATATACATCACATCACCACCATATACCCGTACGCACCCACCAATTCACGTTGGGAACCCCTCGTGTGTGACAAACAGCCCGCCCAGGCGCAGGGTGTGCGGGCGGGCACGGGGGCAGGGGGGAAAAGATCGAATGTTTGGAACGAAACGATTTTGAGACCTTCCCGTGCGCACAAAACAAGACATTGCCCAGCACGACGACTGCCCTCCCAGCCGCACGTGGCATGCCATGTACTTTAACAGAATATGGAAGGCGATTGGGACCTAGGTGCTGCGTTTGAAATCCGTTTGTGGCCATTGCCATCGCGTTGATGCTGCTGTACGTTCTGCATGACTGAGGTATAAATTCATCCCTCTCTTTGTGTACGCACCCTGCAGAGACCTCTCAAAAAGGGGGCCGAAATACGACGCTCCCTTAGTTGTACCATAAAGATGATGAGCGCTGCCCAGCAGCAAGCTCATGGGCAGCAGAATTCGCAGTATGTAGGGCAGATGGACGGACAAAATTCCATGACCTTGGACGAGCCCGTCTGGCAGACCGTGGTAAGTTCGAGAGCACATCAGGAGGGACCTGTCCATGAAGCATTAGCACAGATGATGATGTGTGCGTACATATTTTTGCGCTGGAAGCACGGGGTGGCAGGGAAGTATGGTACATCACTGGGGTGGGGGAACGGGTAAGGGTACCCGTTGACCAGAATGCTGCAGTGATGCAAAAAGAGGAAATGAAAGCTTGTAGAAAAAGGGGTTGACAAGGACACAGGTACCACTTTCAGACCGGATACCGGCGTGGTCCAAGCAGTGTCTTTGCATCATAGAATGCTGATGGAATGAGGGCTGGTAACTGCGAGGATGTGCGTGGTCCGTGCAGCAGATCTGTGCTGCATGATTATGTTGATTTTAAACCGGGGCAAAACTCAATCTGGGCACACGGTGGGAGAATTGAGATACCAAAGGATGGTGCGATTCCTTCACCCACACGGCCTTATCCCCCGCCCCCATCGTGTGCCCCCACACCGTCTCTACAGAAAAGAGACTTGACACAAGTGGGCTCCAAGCTGCAGGTGGTGCTCCTCCCAAGGGAAAACCAGGACGGGGTCCTGAAGAAGCTGAAAGACTGTACGTGCAGGAGGGAGAAGGGGAGGGCGGGAGGGAGGAAGGTCGAGCGCGGGAGGCCGTCGGGAGGGAGGAGGATGGAGGCAGAAGATTCCACGCGAGGGAGGAAATGATGACGGGGGAGGTGGAAATGGTTTTACCGTGTAGACTCTCCGCCCCCCCGTTGATGCACCACACTCACATCCTGCCTCCGCCCCTGCCTCCGCCCCTGCCTCCCAGGGGACCTCTGGGGCCCTCTCCTGGTCTGCCTGACGCTCTCCATCCTCTTGAGCATCACGGCCCCAGAGGAGCAGGGCGCCTTGGTCTTTGCCGCTGTCTTCTTTGTCGTCTGGTTCGGCGCCGCCGTGGTCACCATGAACGCGCAGCTCTTGGGAGGGACCATGTGCGTGCTGGAGGGAGGGAAGGAGGGAGGGAGGGAGGGAAGGAGGGAGCGTGGAGGGACTTGTCATGTCTGTCTTGGCTTGTTCCCAGGCCCGCGTAGCGCCCGGTTCTATGATTCTTAGCCTCTCTCCCCCTTACCGCCACCAAGCGACCCCTCGCTGTCTCCCCCCCCCCCAAGGCGCCCCCGCGCCCT